TTTGCCCCCAGGGAGTTCGCCACCAGGCAGTTCGCCCCCAGGGAGTTCGCCACCAGGCAGTTTGCCCCCAGGCAGTTCGCCACTAGGAAGTTCGCCACCCCGCTGTTCGTCACCAAGTAGCTCTCCACCAGGGAGCTCGCCACCGGGCAGTTCGCCACCAAGCAGTTCGTCACCAAGCAATTCTCCCCCAGGGAGTTCGTCAACAAGTAGCTCATCACCAAGGCACGTCACCACCGGGTCAAACAACGAGGTACTTAGTCAAAAAAAATTATACATCACAAAAAATGGTACGTGACCAAAAACGATTACATCACTAATGTTATGACTTATGAGCAGATCCAACAGAATTTGAGCTGGTGAAATTATTTGAACTGAGATGACTAGCCAAAATTATATATTTAGCCCTAATTTATTATTATATTTTCATCCCAAAATTTTGGACACACATAACAATCCATTTGCAAACGGCCCATTATGTAGCTCAATCGCCTAGCCCAGAAAAGGCAAGGTAGGTGTGAAAAAAAAAGGTGAATTCAAATTGGTCCACACAAGGTGGTAGAATCGACCAAAAAAAAAAAAGTGGTAGAATCATTTATGAACAGTCAAGTCATTTGGGAGTGTCAAGGATTTCTTTTCATTTTTCTAGTCTTTTTTTTTTTAGGAAAAAAACCCTTTTTTTCCTTCCCATCTAAGTAACTATTTATTCAAGACTTTTGTCTTCTACGAAATGAAGAAAGCATTAATTCAAGCCATATGAATTAAGTTGCTCCTATCTTTTGATGTAAAACAGATGAGATGATATTCCCATTCTCATTCAATGTCCATGATTTGCTATAAAACGTAGAGCACAAGTCCTGTGCCTTTTAAAACCATTATCAAACATAGATATAGAGTAGGGGTCAAGGTATACTAATAATTATACAACGGAAAAAGACCTTCGTCTTCCTTTCCCATTCAACTGCTTAAAGAGTCCTCTTCTTATATCTTATTCCTCTCTCTGCTTAACAAAAAAACAAAGCAATAGTAGCCTATCCACCACCTTAAATATTCCAGATTCCAGTCTGATAATATTAGCTGCCCATTTCTTCTATTTTAAGTCTTCCTCATACACTGTTTAACGCCTCGTATATAAAGATGTGTTTGGTTCGAAGGAAAAAATAGGAAAAAGTAGGAAAACTTTTACAAATTTTGTATAAATAATCTTTTCCCTTCTTTCTCTACCTGTTCCTTCAAACCAAACATAAGCTAAATGTCCATAATTTAATGATAAATGGTGCTAAACAGAAACAAATCACAAAACGCCGACTCCATGTATATGGGACAAGGTTTAGATGACGATAACGATTATGGTTAAAATCAGTAAATGCTATTATACACAAATTTAAGTTAAGGTTTTTAGACATGTATTATTTGGAAAGAAAAAAATGTGTGATATTTTCATTGAGAAAAGTTTAACGTGCTTTTGTTTTTTTTTTTTTGGGTAAAGGCTTAACATGCTAATATTTAGAAATCTCTTATTACATATTAATTACATGTACCTAAACATTCATTTTTTAAAATAAAACTTCCATATATGTATGATTCAATATTCGGCAAAAATAACATATTTTTTTTGTTTTTGAAAGAAAAAAAAAACGTATACCATGTTTCCAAAAATAAAATACATGTTTAACATGAAAGCAACATACATGGGCATCTATAATGAGAAATTTGAATTGGATTTGTCTCATAAAGTAGATTCAGATCATAAGATTGGTAGTTAGGTTATTAGTTGGCAAATTCATGTATGACGACTCATTACATGTGAAATAATATGATATTTATTTTTTTTGGAGAAATCATTTTATATATTAAAATGATTAAGTTCAGTTGGCAACTTCGAAACTTAAGTTGAAATAAGTTAAGTTCTCAACAATTTATTTGATGACTAATTAAATTCCCCATATAAATGTTGAATTTGCAAACGCTATGTATTTTCCAAGATCAATAAATTCATCGGTAGAGAGCGAAGCAAATAAAAGAATTTGGAAGAAACTCATCCAAATTCACTGGTATTATTATTCGTCAAAATTCACCGGGCGGCATAGATTTATCCTGAAACGTTTCAATTAAATCCTTTTTTGACTATTCAAATTAATTAGTCTTTTTTTTTTTGCTAATTAAGGAATTATTTGGTAAGTCTTTTTTGGAAAAATCTTCTACTAATGAATTGACATATTGAGATTTTGCATGAAGATCTGAAGCTAGTTTGGCTACTGCACGTCTTTCCGTTCATCTTTTTGTGCCTTTTAGTGCAAGAATAAAGCAAGAAAGATATGAAAAGCTCTATTTGGATCTTCCCGAAATCAATCCTTTAGAAAATTAATTGTATCATAAATCTTTTAAATAAATAAAAAAATAGTTTGGAAATTAAAAAAAAAAACAGTTGAATGAAATTAACTAACATACCTCTAACAAAGAGGGTTTTTTTTTTTTGTGCAAAATAAGACCCCATTTGAATTGTAGGAATAGGGGTTTGGATTTGAAACTGGAAT